ATGTGAATCATCTCGATATATACCTTCAGAAGGTCAAAGAGGCTGCCTAAGGAATACCATTAGTTTGAGACTGCATTTTCTAACACTAATAAAGATGGGGTACCACAAGAATAGGTCTTACATAATTAAACATTTACACCCACACATCAACATGCATATACTATATATGCAAGCTTATACCTTACATGACATGTGATTAGGGTGTAACTGTAAAAGGAATGCAAATGAATTGAAAGTAACTGCTGAATTTGTTTTTAAATATATACTTAACCTTCTTCCTAAGATGCAACTGAATGAAGAATAACATTAGAAAAAAAGTAATACTTCACTTAGCATAAATGGAGCCCTTAAAAATAACATTTCCCAACCAATATGGAAAAATCAGATTAGAACCCATCAAAGAGTAATGCCCCAAATTCAGATATAGCTACGCATAACTTATATCAACACCCAAGCACTCACATTTGAAATCAGCCTACATGATAGAATAGTATATATAGTATATACAAATGCAAAGAAGCGTAAAGATCAGTTATAGTACATATGACACATGCTTGTAAATCAAAAATGTAAGAAAACTGATATGACTACTACCCAAGCCATAGTCAGGTGACCTTTTTTCACAAGCATATAGCATTTAAATTAACAGAATGAAAGCATTAATAATAATCTTTTATAAAGATCTTCATATGCCATATCTACCAGCAAAGTATAACCCCATACTGCAATTATCCATGCAGTGAAAAATGCATACTTCACACTTTCTTGCAGTGACTAATACCTATACTCCAAATGCTCTTGCAGTGAATAATACCTATACTCCACACGTTCTTGCAGTGAATAATACCTATACTCCACACCTACTTGTAGTGAAGAACCCTTATACTCCATACCTCCCTGCAGTGAAGAACCCCTACCATACACGAGCTTGGACACGGGGGAGACACTAGATGCGCTTAAATCAGCAGACATAGCCCCTCTACACAAGAGAGGGAGCAAAGCATTGGCAAAGAATTATAGATCAGTTGTACTAACATCCCATATAATAGAAATATTTGAGAGTGATCAGGAGTCTGGTCACCAGTTTCATGGAGACCAATGACCTTCACAATCCAGGCCAACATGGATTTAGAGCGGGAAGATCGTGCCATTCACTGCTACTTGACCACTATGACAAACTCACTGAGGCATTATGAAAAACAGAATGCAGATGTGGTATACACGGACTTCGCAAAGGCATTCCATAAATGTGACCATGGAGTGATAAGCACGCAAAATGAGGTCAATGGAAATAACCAGTAAAGTAGGACGCTGAATACTCAGTTTTCTGTCGAACAGAACACACAGAATAACAGTCAACCATATAAAATCGAGTACAAACGCAGTTAAAAGCTCTGTACTTCAGGGTACAGTCCTTGCACTACCGCTTTTTCTTATTCTCATATCAGATATAGACAAAATACAAGTCACAGCTTCATATCATCCTTTGCAGATGACACAAAAATCAGCATGAAAATTACCTCTGCTGAAGACACTGAAAAACTGCAAGCAGATATTAATAAAGTTTTTGACTGGGCAACAGAAAATAACATGGTATTTAACAGTGATAAATTCCAGGTACTCTAGTATGGTAAAAATGAGGACAAACATAATACAGGGAACAAAACACAATAAAATCTGCCCATAGTAAGAAAGCAACTTGCGAAGAGTTTGGGAATAATGATGTCTGACAACCTAATGTTTGGGGAGCATAACTAAGCAAATATTGTGTCAGCCAGAAAAATGACAGGATGGATTACAAAAACATTCAAAACCAGGGATCCCATCATAATGGTTGTACTATTCAAATCACTTGTACTGTCCTGTCTTGAGAACTGCTAAGTACTCATTTTCCCCTTCAGAGCAGGAGAGATTGCTGAAATAGAGGGAATACATAGAACATATATGCCATACAGATGCGATAAAGCATCTAAATTATTGAGATTGTCTCGAACCTCTCCAAATGTACTCACTTGAAAGGAGACGAGAGAGATATCAAATAATATACACATGGAAAATACTGGAGGGCCAGGGCCCAAATCTACACAGTAAAATAACAATATACTGGAGTGAATGATATGGAAGAAAATGCAGAATAGAGCCCGTGAAGAGCATGGGGTGCTATAGGCACAGAGAACACTGTATAAACATCAGAGGTCTGCGGTTGTTCAACATCCTCCCAGCGATTATACGAAATATTACCGGAACAACCATGGACATCTTCAAGAGAAAACTAGATAGTTTTCTTCCAGAAGTGTCAGACCAGCCGGGTTGTGGTGAATATGTGGGCCTGCAGGCCGCTCCAGGCAACAGCCTGTTTGAGCAAGCTCTCTCACGTCAAACCTGGCCTTGGGCTGGGCTTGGGGAGTGATACTCCCAGAACCCCATCAAGCAGGAAGCAAACTAACTAATCTCATTAATTCACATAAGCATAGACATGGTCATGTCCAGTTTTGTGATAATGATTTCTTGGAACCCTGCCCACAGTTCCCAGAAATCAGGATAATTGAGCATTCTTTTGAAACTTTGCATTCCTTGCCAAGAAGCATAATCACAACATCTAATGATGGACAACAGGTGAAGTACTCTGCCAGATTTATAAATGCAAACTCCTATAATCTTTTTCAGAACATTGTATACAGTACCTTGAGAAAGGGCACAGGTTACATCCAAACAATTTGTTTTTTAATACTGTACACTTACATGTATATATTGGGTCTTTCCTTCACCTTCATTCAAGCACTCTGGCGTAGTAGTAAGTTTCTTAATATAATAATATATAATAATATAATATAATAAATATAAGTGTACTTATAAAGACTTATAAAACTTTACTTATAAAACAATAAAATGTACACCATAAAAAACGGGGGTGGTAGGAGAAGCGAACACTCATTTGTATTCAGAGTTAAATGGCAAGTTTTTCTCTGAATGCTCTGTGTTCCCTTCTTTGAGGCTGTGGGTCCCTATAATTGCACCAGAGGTGGTACCCCCTTATATAAATATAATATAATAATAAAATTTAATAAAAACACTTGCATTATACAAATCCCAAAATGTAAGGAAATTACAAATTCTTGAAGCCCTACACATAAAAGCAGAACAACCCACCATAAACACTTAAATACCAAAATTATTCACTTTCCTCACCATGACACTGAAAGCAAGATTTAAGGCAAACAAGCTAACGATGATGTCACTGTCCAAAACACTATTCCCACGAGTCACCCGAGTTCTCATTACCCAGCATCTGACAACATTATACACTTACTTTATTGCCCCATCACCTCCCTTTCTCACTCACATCACCTCACAGGTGTACATATTGTACAATATAGGTATACACTATGACACAGCACCGCTCCTGTGCCAGGTAAATCCCACTACGGGCTCACCATGGCCCGTGCTACTTGGAACTTGTTCCCAGTAGCTGAATATATAACAACAACAACAACAACAACAACGTATACACTATGTACACCTATATTGTACACAAACCTGTTCCTGACACAACTCTAAGGAAGTGACTTGCAACGCATCCCTTTGCTGCTGTTCTTTCTGGAAACGTTATCCAGTAACAGATAACAATACTGGCAGGAAAGACCAAATTAAGATCTGGCAATAACCACAGGCAACTGGTACACAATAACCTCATTGCATAGAAAGCAATTATTAAACGATAGTACAAATTATTTATAGGTCTAGATTAACTCCATTACATCCATACAGATGTATTATAACCATATTTACATCATTTACAAAAAAAAGGGCAATAATAACTACAATGAGTAAATATTGACAGCTGCAGTGGCCAAAGAGATCAACAAATGGCCAACTGCTCTTTAAGTGTTAAAAGATTATAATGTTGCTATTGTAGTCTCAAGTTATAGTAATCTTAAAATAATCACTGACACAACAAAGATCTTGCAACAATGGTGGTTAATCTTGTACTGCCATTTTATTTAACTGGCTTCAAAAGGTTTTATTTTCTCTTGAACTTTTGTGGAGACTAAGAAATTTTAACATGACAAAACAAAATGACCAAGGACATTCATATTTGGTGCACAATGCGGAAGCTAATACCACTACCACTACCATAATGTATGGGACAACACAGAGTGAGCCAAGCCAGGCAAACTACTGAAGAGGCGTGGCACACAGATTACTCTCTAAAAGCATAAATTCAAGATAATTTATAGAACATTACATTTTCAAAAAGCAAATACAGTACTGAATTCTTATAATTAGTATATATATATATGCTGTAATTACATTCATGGTCGTGCCAAAATAAGTAACTACTACAAATTACTTACACAGGAGATGAAATGCTATAGGAAGAAATACTGTACACGTCTCTTGAACATGTAAATTATACTCTTCCTAATTCACTATCATTAGTTTTATATATATTCCATGTTTGGTACTGTTTTAATAAAATAACTTACTCAGTACAGACTGGAGGGTGGTAATGTTTCCCAAAAATTATTTTCATATTTTTCTAACTACAGTATATACCTTTCCTTTTATAGTTAAAAATGGATCTTTTAATTTAACAATTGATGTGACTAAACCAACTCCACACACAATACAGTAAAGTAGTCAATTATATTTTATACAATAAGCTTTTTCAACTCCCTGGCCATTTTTACATCAATTTTACAAGGTGGTCTTTCACAAAATCAATTTCAGCAAAATTTTACAACCACAGTATATGCACATTTCATTTAAAGGTTTTTGCTCCCCCAAATATTCATACAACTGTTTTATGCAATAGTTATGTGCAGATTTTTTCACATTATTTTAATTTGTTTAAAGTACAACTAAACTTAAGAAAAGTCTTATATAACAGCAACGATTAGACACCAAACTTTTTTTTATAGGATACTTAATGTTTCCACTATATACCTGCCAGTTGCTCTTCCACAAGAAATATATGCCAACAGAGAATACATACTAACCTGAGATATACAAATTTGGTCCACTGAATCCCAGGGTTTCTGTCTTCTATTTGCAGGAACTACAGATGAAGAGGACAGTGGAGGTGGATCTTTAGTAATGGTCGGAGGGAGTCGTACATCAGCTGGGGTCCCCACTGACAGTGGGGTTCCACCACCACTAATAACACCACTGCTTATGCTTGTGACTGCAGATGATACAGTGGCAGCATTGGCAGTGGCACTGCCCACACCATTACTGCCACCACTGTTACCTATGCTACCTGCCCCAGTGGTTGCTGTGCTACACAGTGATGCCAAAGTAACTGTGCTTGCATTCGAAGAAGTGGCCTGAGGCTGAAAGTGAGAAAGCTTTAGATTCTTAACTTACAGAATTTAGTCTTATAATCTATGCATGGAAACAAAAATGTTTTCTTATGACAGATGTAACACTAATATGAAAGCAGAATGTACAAATGAAGTACTCTTTAGAAATGGGCCCCAGAGAAATTATACACAAAACAAAGGTCAAAATTGAAATCGTGGATGACAGTACACTTGACTAAGCCCATTTCATATAGGAAAGGTAATTAAAGTAACAGATAATGTACATAAACTAGTTATCCAAGTCTTCAAAAAAAGTATCCCAGATCCCCTTAAGACCTTATGTATGTGATGTCATGAAGCAAAGTCCATTTAGTTGTCACAGTAAACCTGTACAATGCATGTTTAATGCCAAGCAATTGTTGTCCATTTCTAAAAATATACACATTATCTATGTCACTTTAATTTGAGAGAACATATGACAAGAATGATCTTAAAAGTAAGTGCTATTTCTGATGGAGAGATGTTTTCTTACTAATCAATTCTGGCAATTTAGCCAATGTACAGAAACCTGGGGAAGCTTTTGGATTGGTAGGTTGTAAGAAATACAAAAGCTACTGTGCTAGTACATTCTAGGCAGTCTGCAGTCTCTATGGCATAGTGGTAAAGCACTTGCCCGGCGCTTCGCGAGCGCTTTGGCCTGGGTTCGTATCCCGGCAGGGGAACGGGTGCCAATCCTTAACTGTAGTCTCTCTTTGCCCATCAGTGAATGGGTACTTGGTTGTTAAATGATTTGAATGTAAGAACTCTTGTATATGTAAATAAAAACAAAACAATAAAATAGACTCTGTTATGGATAGATGTTATGAGGAGCAGACACAGTTGTAGTGTCTGGTTTAGTGTCATTGCACACTAAAACCCGAGGACATTACTCCATTTCTCATAGGAGGAATAAAGCATTGGTAAAAACAATAAACCTATCATACAAACATCAATAAGGTTTTTGAATGGCTGCTAAGAAACTAATAACAGCTTTAATAAAACTAGTATTATTGGCTTTAGAGTAGGAAGATCGTATCTTTTGCAACTGCAGTACCTGATCACTACAACAAAATTATGGACGCACTAAAAGCAAACCAAAATGCACTGTTGTATAGTGTACACAGATTTTGCAAAATCATGTGATAAATAAGACAATGGAGTGATACAGTAGTCATCAGATATCAACAAAGTCTTCTAATGGGCAATGAAAAAACATGATGTTTAATGGCAACAAATTCCAATTACATCGGTACAGGCAAAATTAGTACAGTATCTTAAAAAGAGTACTGGATACAAGATTCAGTCAAATCTCTTCATACTAGTGACCCATTTACAGTTCTAGGAATAATAGTGCCAGAAAAACAAATGTTTTGGAGCATGATATAGAAAATGTAGTATCAGTCAGGAAAGGTTCTGATGCTGCTTCATATCTCTGCTCTCATCCCTTTTTAAAGCAAAAGTATTCAAACAATAACAAATACAGAGATCCTCTACTGCTGTATAGAATCAACTTGGACTGCCTCAAATTGTACTCGCTACAATGAAGACAGAGATATCTCATTACATATACATGGAAAATAATTGAAGGGCAGGTTTCAAACCTGCATAATAAAATTAGAACATAACTGAGTGAGATATGGTAGGAAGGTACAGTACTAGAGTATAGTATCTACACTGTGCTAGGAGCTTGGAGGCAAAACTCTAAATGGAAAGTGGATTTAGATTTGTCTGGAAGTTGCAGTTGCCAAGCAGGAAGATGAAATGTTACAAATTAAGAAAGAAAAATAAGATCTCTAAAGATTTTTTAACACTAAGATAAACAAAAATCCATATCAACTTCTGACGATGCTAAAATGCATCATCTGTACTCCGGTACTCCAATAATAAAACATCTGATGGCACTAAAACGTGTCATCCATCTTGAAATTCACAAAAATCCCTTTTTCATGTTTTCATATACATATTTTTTAAGTTTATGCATAGCATATCTGGGAACCAATCAAAGCATCAAGAGACCATCTAGAGATATTCTCGGCTAATTATCCATCTCTTAAGACAATATTGTAATTGCTCTGCTTGTTAAAATATTCATTATGCCTTGTAAATTGCCTTCTGGAAAAGCATGAAAGTTATATTTCTTTACTTTTTTACGGTAGCAGACTGATAATGCGTGCACATTTTCGTATATTTTATTTTTTATGCTGAAAAATAAATGAGGAATGTTGAAATGTTCATAAAAACTCATATACTGTACTGTATTAAGCACAGTCTTGCAAATTCTATTACAAAATAATATTTTATTTTGTATCTGTACTCTAGCAAATTCCTTTGTGAACATTTTAACACCAAATTTATAGTAATAACCCAAAACTAACTGAAAAATTTTAAGGGAGCATAAACATTTAAGGTGTTGTTGAGTGTGACATGCATAGTATAGTAAGGATACTAACTATATTTGTAAAACTTCCATTGGTTGGAAAAGATGAGCCAGGAGATGGTATGTGATTACTGGGGGAAGAGGCTCCTCCAGAGGTTTGTTGTGAACATCCCTGTGGGTTACTTGTTATCCCACTGACTTGGCTTGATGTTGGTGGAAGATTTAGGTGAAGGCCAACTGTGAATGTGTCTGATGATGCCGATTTGGAGAGACTGCGTGCTACCGAATATCTCAGATGACATCTTGATCTAACTTCTTCGGATACTGACACAAGGGCAGCAAGATACGCCACATTCTCTGGTGTTACCTAGAAATATAGACAAATATATTGTACAAAAATATTAACTACATTAAAATTAACTATGATGTCTATTTATGATGGCTGGCACAGAGATATGGCAATCCCATCATTCACCACCATGTGGTGCAAATAGAATTGTATCCTTGAGTGACAAAATAGGTGAGAAATTTGGTCTAGACCACTATTTTCCTAAATTTCTTCCAATAACAGAACTGATCTAGATCCTTGGTCTTGCATCTGTCCTTACCCTGGCAAATAAATGTAGGTTCATTTGGCTTTAGAAATGGAAGGAAAATAAACAAAACACCTCAGAAGATGGATGTGGTTACATTTTTATAGGAGGGACTATTTGGTGTGGTAAGTTTGTGAAACAATTTCAAAGTGAGACGGTGGAGTATAATGAGTTACAATTTGAAAATGGAGAGTTGATTATTTTGTACAGAATATCTTTGACATCATTAAGGCAAGGTAATAGGTGCCAAATACAATTATAAACACACAAATGTTAAAATATTAAACAATTACAATATATTAAAAGTACTCATTGAGATTAAAACCCCAGTGGAATGTTTGTGAACCAAATGTAAGTGAAAAAAGGGGGAACCATTGCAAACTGTCAAGGTACCATCCATCATGTTTAAGAGGCATGATGTCAGACAAATTTGGTTCCCAAATCGGGCAACAAGAGGCTTTTTTGATCAATTATAATAAGTGTACAGTACTTTTGTGCATTTCCTCGTGCAATTGAGCAAGTGTTCGAAGTTGAAAGAACATTTACTGAGGCATTCAGTGTCCAAGAACGGAACAGCAGAAAAAATATATAGGGCAAAACCTAAAAGTATCATACAGCAAAAAAATACATATTGAACAAATCAATAAAACAAAGTTTAGGTTCTTAGTAATAAAGAATAAGACAAACCAGAAGCTTATAACCTAGAATACTCATAAAAAGAAACTGCACACCTCAAATTTGTCTCTCTTATGTGGTTTAGCAACAATGGAGAGAAGTGTGATCAACACTCTTGAAGTGCGGGACACAGTTGTTGGTGCTGGGTGCCGAAGGCCTTTTAACAAGTGACCCACCAATGCAAAATGGAAGTTACCTATAAAGAGAGGAATAATGATATATAAGTTTGTAATTTTTACTTAATTACATTACTGTATTTGGCAAAAAGTTGTTTCCATTTAGGGAAGAATTATCTTATTTAACATGTTAATTTTGCTTCGTTGTTTAAAAACACAGCGTTCAATTTAATGAAATACCTCTTTCTGGAGAAACCCAGGTGGCTCCCTGAAGCTATCTTGCCGAGATTGCTCCATACTGAAAGATCAAATCAGTTATGGAAGTTCTGTTTGCTCTATGAGGAGCCCTAAAGCTCTGTCTTTAGGATTTGGTGGTTTCAAGCTCTTCTCTGGAGGCAGGGGTTTCTGTTCCTTTAGTAAATGTTCACAAATATGAGGTTTTGTCTGCAGTCTATCTCCAAGCTCTGAACCGATATTAGGTTTGCTGGTTTTAGCGTTCTAACAGGGTTCTGATGCTCAGGTATTTTATCAATGTTCCCAGTCCCAGATATTTGTGTATTACTTTGGGCTGTGTCTCCCTGCCTGATTTCTTTTCTTTGTACTAGTACCTGCTACCTCTCCTCCTTCCTGGTAAATCCCATTTTTGTTCTCAGTAGTTAGCTTTAGAAGTCAAAGGAGGGGCTCCCTCCAGAAACCCAACATTGAATGTAATGAACTACCTCTTTCTGGAGGAGCCCTGGTGGTTTCCTGCCCCCAAACAAATCTCCAAACATTCTCTAAAGAAATCACTGATGAATGAATGACTTGAATAACTTTCATTTTATGAGTGATCAACATCAGTAGTGGATTGATCTTTGATATCCACTCGCTAACTGCCCCATGTAAGGGGCAAGTCGGAATAATATGGCGCTTGATTCAGGTGGCATAATAAGTGTCACAGAAGCCTGGTGAGTCTGTTCTGGCCCTATTGTACAACACCATTAAAACTAAGTTAGCTACTAAGGTACCATAAAGAAACAGGCATTCTATTACATTGAACATTTTATGTTTATTGGAATATGACACCCATAATTCTTTTCATTTTTGCAGTAGTTTGCAGCAAGCTAAGACCAAACTTACACTTTACATACAACAGCCTGTTTCCACAGCTTACCCTTAAAACTGAGTCCCACAGAATGATCCAACTGCTTAAAAAACCATTCAAGAGACTCTCTTGTTGACATCATGACCTGCTCCAGAGTCTGAAATATAAGAAAAGTGTGGGCTGTAATCATGCATCACTTGCTGACATAATTAAAATGGACAATTCTTTGCATGTTTTTATGTTAATTCATTACTCCAAGAATACCTAATGGCAAAAACAATTCAGTCACCTTATAGCATGGCAAAACTTACACAGTCAATGTGTTTAAATAAATCTGGAATTAAAGTACTCTACCATTGCACACTATTATATACAGACCAATGGTAAAGGTCCCCCTCATTCAATGAAACTTTATGATTAGCAATTATTTTAGGTTCAATACAGAATATAAATGAGACTGAAGCTGTAACCTAGCAGACCAGTGTGCTTATTAATAAAAACATGTTTTAACCGTTGCCCATCTGGAAAACTATGCATGATCTTCACGACAGTATGTGTTTACAATATTATATATTGGATTTTGAATGGCTGAACAATGCATATTATAAGTATTCTTGATAACCTTAAAGAAATAACAGTTATGTAAAATTCAATATTTCTTTTAGACAATACCATATGTGGAGGAGGTAATGGTATAGGTAGTGGAGAAGATGATGGTAGTGACAATTAGCGGAGGGACAGTGGTAGCGGAAGGGACAGTGGTAGCGGAAGGGACAGTGGTAGCAGAAGGGAAGGTGGTAGTAGTGATGATAATGAACAGGAAGGTGCTGATGGTGGTGACAATAGTGAAGGGAATGATAGTGATGGAGACAATGGTGAAGGGAGAAGGTGGGGGTGAATAGTGAAAGGGGAAGGTAATGATGGTGATAACAGCGCAAGGGGAAGGCAGTGGGTGGTGACAATAGTGAAGAGGAAGATGGTGATGGTGACAATAGTAAAGGGAAAGGTGATGGTAATGACAATAATGAAGGGAAAGATTTTGGTAATGACAACAGTGAATGGGAAAGTGGTAATGGTGATAACAATAGTGAAGGTGGCGGCGGCTCTGTGAGACAGTGGGTCGCCACATGGTGAACCTCTTTACATTGGCAAGAAACCTGTGACTGCATTTTTACATGGCTCCATTCCTTGATTGTGAGGCTCTCATGATGGATGTCTTTTGACTGGACTTATTGAGATGGGGGCTCCTTTACCTCTTGCCCCCAGTTCAGCTGTTACTCCCGAGTGTTGTGATCAAGTTGATCTTTCTGGTGTTTCGTTGGCCAGCTCAGAGTGGGGAACACAATGCAGTCAACCCAACCATTTCTTTCCAATAAGATCTCTGTAGCTCTATCATAAAAACTTATTAGACTTGCTACACAGGATCTTCCCATTCGACCAAGCTCTCCTCCAACCAGGTAAGTCCCATGTTTTCCTTCTAATTTGTTGTTAGTTAGCTTCAGGGAGCCACCATTTGGCATGCTTGGTAGTGACACAAGGTGATGAAAGTCACTGAAGAGGCTTATACAGAAACATAGGGTTAGTTAACAGAGGGGGAGGAGGGAGGTCCAGAGCTATCCGAGAGAGAAATTAATGGCAATGACACTTTCTCCAACAAGATGTACTGGTGGAGGAGGAGGAGGTAGGTCATGCAAATAGCATATAACTAGTGTCTTGTTGGTCATCTAATAGTCCTGGGCTTTGATATCAGTCCAGGTCCAGGCTGAGAAGCTGGTTGTTAATGCGGCACACTTCCTCACATCAAGTGCAACGTTTTTTCTTATTATAAAGACTTTCCTAGCTCTGTTGTATGATAAAAATTAACTCCCTGTTATTTTTGTTATTTATTAGAAGAACTATAAGGTCACAGTCTGCAGTTTGTGTTGCTTATTATAAAAAAACAATAATGAACACAGAAAATTGTTTCTATGAAGCTGTCTATTAATATAAGCAAAAAAGGAAAGAGGCTTACATTATTATCAAAGCTTCCCTGAGAATCTAGTGTGTGGAGGTTCTGTTCCAGCAGAGCCAGGCCAGACGCATAGAGGGCCACCTCATCCAGCTGCAGCACTGACACACCTACCCAAAACAGAGCTTGATGAATTGCAGACTCCTGTAGAGAAATAACAAAAGTTAAAAATTAGAATATGCTGTAATTATGTATACTATCGCATAATACTGAAACCTTCAATATTTGTTATGTTGAAGGTTTCGGTATTGTGCAAGTCAATACTGAAAAGTCAATACCGTAAAGTTGACTTAGACAAAGTCAAAGTCAATTTTACTCTAAAGTGATGTTTGATCAGTGTTGTGTGATTCACCAGTGGAATATTTCTTTGATATCTAGCCTTAAAATACCTAAAATTATCTAGCATAATTCCAAAAAACTAAATTAATATTTTAAATAATTTTGTTTAAATCCACTTCAGAGTTACAAATTTCAATGCAGTCACAATTTGATGGTATCAATGAAAAAGACCAGACAATTTTATAATTCTGTTTGATAAAATTTATATTTTATGCTTCCTTATAATAAAAAAACAGACAGCATTGAATGTAATTAAAAGCCTTTGTCTGGATGAACCCCGGTGGCTCCCTGAAGCTATCTCGCCGAGAGGGGCTCCCAACTACTGGGTTACACCAGCTGTGGAGTTCTGTTTGTTCTACAAGGGACCAGAACTTGGCCCACCCCTCACAGAGATGCAGAGCGCGGGTTACACACTGACACCCCAGCAGAAAAGTATCTATAAAGTCAACAAACCAAATCTTTAGATAATGATACTATAGAACTTACCGGTCTGAGTAGAGGTTGAAGCCGTGTGAGGCACATAATTATTGAGTCTATAAGCGTAATGTCTTGAAAGCTTTCCAAGGCCTTGACCAAGATTCGCAACAATTGTTTGATGTCCTGGTCAACTATACTTTTACCTGCCAAAACCAGGAAAGATCTCTGTTAAAAGCTTATTATAACATACCAATTATTTACTATGCGTACAAAAGAACTCCACTGAATCAAAATCCAGTGTTAAATGTAATGAAATGCCTCTTTCTTGTGGGTTCCTCAGTGGCTCCTTGGAAGCTAGCCACCTGGATAACAAATCCATATAGCCCCTAAAGAAGCAGGAAATATTCGGATTTGCTTAGGAAGCAGGGCCAGAGTTCATAGACCAGTGGAAAAGTTGTCTATCGTATGATAGATCTGCTGCAAGCTACAAAATCAAGCTCTGAAATAGATGGAAGATAACCACAACCCAATCAATAGAAGAACAAGGTAAAAAAAATTCAAGATGAATGAAAACTGACTAACCAGAATGAATGAAACGACGGCTAGACAGCAAGGCACAAGACAAGGGTTTGTTTGTAAGTGAAACCCAAAATGAAAAACCAACATTGGTTCAAACACTGATCCTGTAAATTATTTGAATGGGTCTTAGTATATTTACTGTATTAATTAGGACTGCTGAAATTCGCCAAATGACTTGACAAGATTAATTAAAAAGATTCTCTTCTCCATACAGTACTGTACTGGTATTTCAATAATACTGCCGATATTTAATTTGACACCATAAATGAGTGGAAATAATCAATAACCATGAAATTCAAAGAAACCTAGCATAATGTATAGAAGCCAGTTTCACATGTCTATATACTGAACCACAAATGTCAATGATGAAAACTAGAATAGATAACTTTAAGTGGTATCTTGTGAACTTACTTATACAACCAAAGACAATGAGGGCCCTGGGTTGGAGAGCTGGATTATACTGGAATGCAAAACTCTTAGCAAGACCTGTCCATGCTTGTAGCCAGTCACAATCTGGAATATCACGCATACAAGCCTCCATCATCTCAAGCAGTGCATCCGTAATGGTCTCCAGTGAGGTGAGGGACAATCTCTCACGGTCGCCCATGTTACACGAGAGACTACGGTCTGTACCAAATCTGGAAGGAAATTAAATTTTTATTAGTCTGCCATTCTCATGATAGATGATAAAATACATTGTTACGAGCTCACCATAGCCCGTGCTACATGGACATTTCGTTCTGAGTAGCTAAATCTAAAACAACAAGATAAAATATACTAATGATAAAATTATCAATTCTGGTTAAAGAAAGTATCAAGACTATTATTTAATACATAATGATTATCTGTAATGCTGAAAATGAATATTGTACAATACAGTACAGTATATTATATTACTCTAAGGTACATGCAAACAAATTTTGAAATACAATAAGACTATATTTTATAAGACTTTATAAGACTATATTTTAAATAACCAAATACAAACACCATCTAAAAAATGAAAATCTGATTTGCTCAGCAAATGCCACTATGAGAGTTACACTGCTGAAAATTTGCGGAGCACATTTAAGCTTTAAGGAATATACATATTGTGACAAGTGTTGTACAGAAATCTAAAATCTTCCATAGTAATCAATTTAGTATTAGGAACTGTGTGATGAGCACATTTCTGCTATTTCATTCTTGCAATATTATACCGATGGCCACCCTTCCTTACAGGCCACGGGAAATTCCCAGGTAGACCTCAAGCATTGTGAAGCCAAGAAGAAATATACCACGCCAGCCCTCACAGCACAGCAAAAAGCAACTCGTAAAAAAAAAGCAATGAATGTAATGAAACCTCTTACTGGTAGAGCCCTGGTGGCACACCGGAAGTTTCCTGATTCTGAGCCAGCAATGAGTCCGTCTGGAGCTGATAGACCATGAATCAACGCACTTGGTAGGTGGGGAGCTAGCAGGGTTGTACCAGAAAAAAGTGTTTTGTTATCCTCTATGCTAGTTTTCTGAAGGCATCCTTTGGAAGCTCCAAGAAGCTTTCTAACAACGGAAAAGTCAGAAAACATGGGACTTATCAGGGAGGAGGAGAGATGCAACTACATTGAACCCGAGCAACACAAGCTTGACTAGGAACAGGAACGTTGACCAGACACTGCGGCACCAAAATCCTGTTAGATATCCAAAACCCATCCCCAAATATCAACCCATGACATGGTAGTGAAGACAGTGGTCAAGGCCACGAACCTGTGAACATTATGGGCCCGAGGGTAGACCACAGGCTGGTTAGCTTTAATAACACTGGACAACCAGTGATAAACGTGCCTTGGAACAGGGAATAAAGGAACCCAGATCAACATACAGAGCATCAGCAAACCAGAGAGGGTGGAGTACAAGTAGTGACAAACCGCCACAACTGGACACAACAAATGATGCACCCACAGCTGGATAAATCAAGCATCAATCATCTAGGGAACCCTCTGGAAGCCCCTCTGGAAGAAGTGAACAGTTACTCGGGGTCTTCACAATATGTGAGGCTGGTAAACACATGCATTTAAAGGTGATACTAAACAAATAAGAACAAACAAAAGCAAATAGCCTCTACTTATCTGGAAAGACTGGGACCCACAGGGTTTGAAGGTGACATGAGGAGCATTGCTAACACTGCAGCACCAAGTGAATGATTAATTGGTTGCCTTGGTTTGCCCAGGAGCTCCCAGTGCTACCACCTGGCAGTGGGGAGGGAAACTAGTTGAAGAACCTAACAGTTGGGTGTTTTGTACCTAGCGTGGGTTCTGGGAGTTGCAAACATTAAATCACAATAACATGGAGGAAAATATGACACCTAACTCACAAATCTTAAAATAAAAGAATTGATGTTTTGGTCCAGCTTGGATCATTGTCAAGTGGGAGTCCTACTATTCTCCAAGCCTGGCCCTAGACTTGTGAGAGCTTGGTCCAACAAACTGTTACTAGGAGTGACCCCTCAGGTCCATACATCCACTACAACCTGGATAGTCCGGAAGTTCTTGCAGGAAACTCCAGTTTTTTCTTGAAGAAGTCCACTTTAGTTCTAGCAATATTTCATATAATGTACATGCTGGGAGGATACTGGCCAGCTGTGGACCTCTGATGTTCATACAGAAGGAATATATATACTGTATATATATTCCACACTGACATGCAGTCAGCAGGAAGGGATCAGTGTGAGTTAACCTCAAGAGTAAGCCTGGCTAATTTCATGTTCAAGAAACTTTTGCAACACTTCACACAAATGTCAAAATAATAAAAATACAGTGGCACCTCCAAAGTCCAGATCATATTCTAGAATCAATCCGGCTTTACTTGAACTCAAAATTTCCAGAAATTTGGCATTTTTTTGTCTATCACCAAGTTTTCTGGATTTTTCTTAGAACTAGTGGTACAATACATGTTCATGCATTTAAGATACACAAATAATATATAAATAATAATTTTATTTTCCAATATTATTATGCAAAAAACATAAAATATAATGTTCACTTACCATTTTGTAGAACAGACTACACAGATCACATCTTGATAACATAGTTACCAAACTACTGTAGTTATAGCACTGTGTCATGTTGTCTGTTAATATTCTGCACCCACCCTGACCTGACCTGACCTGGTCCTCATTGCCTATGGTTAATGCTAGTCTCTCGGTTACAGACTGTAACTGTTCACCACCAGCCAGCCAGCCCCAGGCTACTACAGTGCTGCATAAATCATTACTGTATTTAACTTCTTTTCTTAGAGAGATACAGTACTTTTAGGTTAGTTCTTTCCATTACTGCTCTTCATTTTATTCTCAAACTATGTTACCTACTTTCTTTTCTTTTTTATGTATGAAACAGCAGTAATAGCAATGCCATACTTCTCTGCAAGCCACTTTCCTCCCCAGCCACAATCATGCTATTCTAATAAATCTGCCTTCTTATCCATGGTAAAGAAGATATGCTTACCCTTGGCTAATGTACCCATATTATTATTTTGCACAGCATGACTTTAATTCTAAACTAATGGTAAATCAGAAGATAAGACACTGAAAATGTTCCGAGTACACAGAGGTCAGATGCACACATAAGGGAAAACAGTCAGAGTATATATGCCCTCATAGTAGATTTGAGAGCTTATCATTTTTGTTACAAAGTCATTTGTACAATTTATAGCACAGTACAAGCTTAGTTAAACATTTCTAAAATATAAGTGTATTGTTTTGAATTATATTCACAAATAAAACTGCAAAATTAGCAAAAATTAAGAAAAAAACTAAATTTGAAGGAAATTACTGTACTGTATGTGATGAACCAATGATCACATTTCATTGCATTCCTCCCAACACAAGCACAACCTAGCCAGAGGCAAGACTCAAAAGTGGCCAACCCTGAGCAGGAACAGAACACTTCAGAGAAGACAACTCTAGTGGTGGACTGTCACCACTAGCATTGACAAGTAAGGGAAGCCTGAAACAAAGCTGAGAGACACGAAACATGGACAGCTAAACACACTCGCAGAAAGAAAAGCATGTAACTCCCCCCATGATGTAAAATCATCATAGGAATATTGAACACTTACCTCTGTTAGATATCAAACCCATTACCAGGATGCTGTAACGTTATTAGCACCAGGTTGAGCATGATGGGTGGATGCTTGGTGGAACGGTAGAGATTCAGCTACCATTTGGTTGCGAGGCATCACCATGTGCACTTAGTATGATTAAGTAGCTTTGGTAGTAAAGTATTGTTCCAAAGACCTTTTCAGAGGGAGTTTGGAAGGGTCTTGACCTCCTTTCGATGATTAATGAGAGAAAGGAAGCAAAACAAAACAAGTGGCAGTTTGCAAGCGTACAGTTCAGCTCACCCAGTGAGACTATAAAGCTGACCACCACTTTCACTTACTTGCCACCTCCAATATGCACCCCATCCCCACAAGGAAGAAGGGCACTGAAGGGTGGGGGTATGGAAAGCTATTGAGACAGCCCAGAAAAATGCATTTTATTACATTCAATAGTTGATTTCTGGACTAGCCCCTCAGTAGCTCCATGGTAAATATATATAAAACTCCCAACAGCACCTCAGAGAGGAAATCTACTTTGTTAAAAGAACCAAGATAAAACAGGCTTATCTATAGGAGGAGGAAGCAGAAAACCTAGCATATTCAATAAAAAAATGTGCAATTAGGACCCAGTAAGACAACCAGAAGCCCTAAGCCTGAATATCAGCTGTGAGCATATTAGCAAAGAATGTAGTAATGGCAGTAAACATGTACACCATAAGTTCTGGGATATATATCAGACTGACAAAGAGAGCCACAGTTCAGGAAGCGCGAGTACCACACAAATAACACCAGTCCACCGACAGCTAACTGGCGGGACCAAAGAGCCGCAGCTCAACCTCCACAAAGACAACTAGGTGAGTATGCAATGTTAACAGGACCAAGGGCATGATAAACTAAGTATTCATAGGACAAGTCCTACGATGTTTATCAAGTTCTCTTTTGAACACTGTGAGAAACCAGCCAGTTATGCCCCGTACATGTAGAGGGAGAGTACTGAAAAGTCTTGGGCCTTTGATATTGATCGCATTCTCTCTCAGCGTGCCTATTTACACCCCTGCTTTTCAATGGGGAAAATCTGTACATCTTGCCATGCCTTTTGGTCTCATGTGGTGTTATTTCTGTGTGCAGATTTGGAACCAGTACTCCTAGTATATTCCAAGTGAAAATGATTATGTATCTCTCTTGCCTGCACTCTAGGGATTGGTATAATAATCAGACAATAATAGTTCATCAGGAACCCAAACCCAACAAGCTGGGAAAGAACCAGATCCCTGGTTAGCAGACATGTGGACAGACTGGTGACCCACACCAACCAGTCGTTGAGATTATTGTTGAAACAACTACGTCACTTTGGTTGATGTTGTCTCTTCCCAGGTTCCGAAATGGGGCTCGTCAGAGCCCCCGGTTTGTCCTTGATCTGTCGAGATTGAACTAGTTCATCATTCCCGATGACCACTTTGGCCCAGGCTTGCTTCATATTGAAGGTGGGCACCTAGATGATATCCCTGGACCGCTGGGAAATGTACTGGCATGTCCCTATTCATCCAGGGTTCAGGGATTGGTT